GTGAGACCGTGTCCATCTGAGTCATACGCCGGTTTTAGAAGTGTTAATTACACAGAGTGAAAGCAGCCTGCATGCATTAAAATGTGATCTGTAGGTAACATTTCTGCTCTTCTACCTCCTGCCTGCACAGGAGTCAAACTGCAGGGGCCTTCAGGGGAGAGGTGCACAGGAATGCGTCCCAAATTTAAAAACGTGTGCAGACGATGCCCTAGATTCCTGGCATATGGGAAATACTGCAGTGGGACCGTCGTCTGTGTCTCCTGCTGAGTCGTCCTGGCACCCTCCGCAGACCCTTCCTTCATGTAAAGACTGGAGAGCCCCAAGGCAGGGAGAGAACTTGGTTCCTGCACGCCAGGAAGTGGGGGTTGGGATGGGGAGCATCACTGTGCCAGACACCTGGCCCATCGAATTAGCATCTGGTCACTAGCCTTGGAAACTGGGCAGAAAGGAGAGTAGTCACTGTGGCTGTATTGGGAAGATGGAGAGCAAAAGTCTCAGCCATTGGTGCCTTGGTGGGCACTGTATGAGGGTTTTGTTTTGGTTTTGGTTTTGATTTTGGTTTTGGTTTGTTTGTTTTCCTGTTCCGGGGATGGGTCTGGGCAGGACTAAGAGATCTGTACAGTTAAGCAATTTGGGTCAACTTGTAGTCTGGCTGTTCCTTATCTCAGTTCTGGTTCTGGGAGGTGACTCCAGAGAAGTCTTAGCACTGGAGGGGACCTCTAGTTGCCATGAGATGGTTTTCTGCTTGGGCAGAGAAGACACCCTTCCTTTCTTGGTCTTCTCAGTCTTAGAGGCAATTGCCCCTATTCCGGGGTGATCTGTCTGTGAGATTCTGCTGTTCCTGGGAAGCAAAGTCACTGCAGGCTCAGAACTATAATTGGAGACATGGACTTGTCTTCGGAGGGTGTCTTAGTTACGATCTCTGTGGCTGTGATAAAACACCATGACCAAAAGAAACTCGGGGAGGAAAGGGTTTATTTGACTTACACTTCTATCTATATCACAGTCCATCATTGAAGGAAGTCAGGGCAGGAACTCGAGATGGGAACCTGGAGGCAGGAACTGAAGCAGAGGCCATGGAGGAGGGCTGCTTACCAGCTTGCTCCCCAGGGTCTGCTCAGTTTGCTTTCTCATGTACCCCAGGATCACCTGCTTAGGGACCACGTTACCCACAGTGGGCTGGGCCCTTCCTCATCATTCATCAAAACAACACCCCACGGCCTTGCTTACCAACCAGTCTTATAGAGGCATTTTCTAAATTAAAATTCCCTCTATCATTGTATGTCTAGGTTTGTGTCAAGTTGGCAAAACAAAACAAAACAAAAAACCAACAGCATAGGAAGTTATAATAGGATGGTGTAAAGCTCATAGTACTGTACCTTCGTCTTTCGTTTTGTGTTTAAGACTGGGTATCACTGTATAGCCCACACTGGCCTCAAACTATTGAGCCTCCTGTTCCCTAGAGGCGAAATACCTTAGTTACTCTCTTGCCTTCAACCTTGGGGGTGGGGGTGGGAATGAAATAGGTCAGGTTTCGTCAGATTGTAGACAAACATTCCTTCAGTCATTAACGTGCTAGTGTGTGGCCTGGAATAGGAATCTGACCCCAGTAAAGGAAGCATTCTCGGGACAAGAGCGGAGATGCCAAGCTTCCTCCTGCTCCGTTTGCACAGATGCCCAACGAGTCTGTACTTCAGCCAAACCTATTTCTGAGTGCCTTTTCTACCTGCGCCATTGCAGCACAGTCAGGCGTGGCCCAGGGGTGGGGTGGACTTCCTCATACCTGCCTGGCCCCACCAACTCCTCTAGGGGCCGAGCTTGGCTCTGGCTTGTTGGAGAGGACCTGCTGGAGGAGCCCCTGTAGCTATGGAGCTCCAGCAAACCCCTTTCTCGTCCCTCCTCTTGCTGTGTGATTCTCTTCATCTGTCACTCTGTCTCCAGTGTGGAGGAGAGGTTGGGGCAGGGCCTGGGAGTCCTTTGGTATTGATGCCCTGCCCACCTGGCTCCCGCAGAACCATTCCCCGTGCGTGCGTGCATGCGTTTGTCTTTGGGAGAGATGGGATTCCTGGCCCCTTTAATGGTTTTTATTCAACAAGCTGGCACCTTGATGCGTAGAGACTGATCTGGGGAATCCTTCATCCTGTCCTGCCACTGTTTTAATCAGTGCTGCATTCAGACCTCAGTTAATTGATGTCTTAATCCTGGGTTTAATGCCTAGA